CAACTTTGCATTGAAGGAACTTTCAGAGTCGAACATAAGAATATTCAATACAGTGTTTGCATAACAAACGTGCACTTTTCAGTTATCTTATGACTTTTTCTACAAAAGTAGTCCTTTATTTTTCTAAATAATCGATAAGTACTGTATTTATAAGATGAACTCCAAAAAATTTAGTGACGAAAGAATCGCGCGGAGAAAAATAGGAAATAAGTTGACAGAGAATATAAAAAAGAAACTAGGAAAGGAAATCAGAAACTTTCGTGGTTCTTACGCATACACGTCATATATCGTTAAAAGACCTGAAGTTTGGCGCTAGACCATCTCTTTCTCTCTTGAAAATGGATGCAACTTTTTCAAAAGCTACTTGCTCAAAAATTCATACAAGCTCAACTCGCTTACATCCTGTTTATTACTCTAACAGATTTTTTTGCCGAATGATAAACAAAACATTTATTGCACTTTTGTTGCGTTACTATTTTCACTCATTTCGATTAATTTTTTTTCTTTAGCAGCTGTAGTATAATTATAAGCTTGTTATTCATTATCAAATTAATTATTTCATATTCAGTATTATGTAAATATTAAATTAAATATTGGATAGAAAAGCCATACAATTTCTGTTGAAGGTCGAAATCACTATAGTGATAAATTAAATTCTAGGTTGGTAACGTCTAATTAAATTTAAGCCAGACTATTAAATCGGACACCTTTTACTTATTTAAATGGAAAGTAGAATGGCATTAAAATTAAAGAGATATTTCACTCGAAAAAAATTGAAGATTCTAGGTTGTTAACAGATTGTCGAGAGCTTGAAATAAATTATATCACCAATCTAAGAGTAAGATTGATTTTTTTTCGTTTGCCATTCCGTTTGGAATTAATTCCAGTGACGCGATCACTGCTGACCGTCGAAACATGAAATCAAACCTCTAACAAAGCCGGAGAATATCAAATTGTCCACTTGAACAAACGACTCGATACTTTGTGAGACTAGCGGTTCGCATCGTAGCAGAGAGAACGAGAGAGAGAGAGTGTGTAGTATCTGCTCTAGCAATCGGCAAATGGGCTTGCTAATGGCTTGGCGAACTGAGGCTTCAAATTTCATTTCCGTGTCCGCGAGTTTTGGCTCTCTCTCTCTCTCTCTCTCTCTCACTCTCGCAGGGTACGATATCGTCGATTCTCACACGACTCTACTTTGGCGACCAGCTTGGCAAACATGCCGTGTAACTGCTTCTAATATGAGCCGATTGAGGTGAGTTGTTGCTATTGCTGTTTGCCTGACAGGATGAGCTTTAATCAAGATAAGACCTCAAAATGCTTTGATAATTTTCTTCTAACTGTATATAGGATTAATGACGTACAGAACACTAGGATTAGTAAATTAAACACAGTAGTGATTCTTACCTAAGATAGAGTCTAAGTTAATAGCTAAACGCTTGAGCTCAAGATCAAAAATAAAAAATAAATGCGAGGGTTACGACTCTGACCCGCTCTTTCTTCCTCGGGGGTGGGTCCTATTCTCTCTCTCTCTCTCTTTATCACTTGTTTTCCACTCGATTCCCAAGTTTCTCGTCACGCATATACATACAACGCTCTGACACTCTATCACTCGCATATACGTATATTACACACTACTTATTTCGACATTTAAATATTAATACATCCATTTAAATATTATGTCAGTGTAAATTTGACGCAAGATAACTACCATGTTTTTGTTCCACCATTAAAAAACAGTTTTTAATCAATCAAATCATTTTTACTGAGGCTTTCTTTGCAATTGAAAAACAAAAGTGTGAGATGATAAAAATAAAAACTGTCTGCATAGTCCATCAGCTGTTGCGTAAAATTTATGTGCGATCCTAGAAGTGTATTATAGTTGAAGCACTCGGACTGCAGGCAAGTCGTGTATTCCCTCAGTCCAGTAGCTTGAATTACACTCTCTCGAGAGGATCATCGGTGTGTGCCTTAGCCGTGCGAATATATAGCTATCGACCTACGAACTACACGTTGATCCATGAGAATTCCGAACGAGATAAAGTTACGTACGATACTTCGTGCGGAGTCATTGTAATTTGAAGTTTTAGATACGTACACTTGCATTGGAATCCATTGAGATTCTACAGTATCCGTAGAGATGAAAATGTATTATTCGTTTATGCGATGGTAGATAGATACAGAAATAAAATTCTTCATTCTAAATAATTTATAGAAATGTACATAATGCCTTTCCAATAGCTGCGCGATCGAGCATTTTTAAGGATTATACGAGCATATCAAGCCTATAAATATCTGAAAACTCCAAAAATAGATTCTTCGGAAAATCGAAGCGAAGCTCTGACGTGTAAAATTACAAAGATAGTCGACTGCTTAAAAACAGATTCTAAAAACATGAGCACTTGATAAGATCTTAAATAAACTTACAAGCAGTTCTGTGAAAAATGAAATAAACGCAAGCTATTTTTGTGTATTAATGTGAAATCGTTGATAGGATTATTTTGTGTGACCATTGATCTTCGCTTCCTTTGACGGCATTAACTGTAAATTCAACTAAAAATTTGGTATAAAAAAGAAAAGCATAAACATAAGATAATACTTCTCATAATGTAAAATATTAAAGAGGATCACGACAATGTATTAACCGCGACATTTTGTAATATTTTCTACGTGTACAAAGTAATGCTTCTCATGGAAAATCCCTGTATCAGTATCACTCAGAAATCGAAAATAATTCTGTCCTTGCGATGGGAAAAATTAACGGGTGAGCAAATTACATGTCATTTTGATATGCATTGCTATTGCAAATTGAAATTCGCGATCATTCTACGAAAATTTCGCACGAAATTGTCGTACGCGTAAAGTATTCGGAATTCATTTAAACTTTTAACAAACACGAGTACGTTGAGCCTACACACAATGTTAACTTTATCATTGGCGCGCGTTCGACAACAAATTTGATTTTTCAGGAACAAAATACGCTCTAGTGTATATAATTGCTTCTCGCATTTGTCGGTTGCGCACTCGCAATCGCAAAAGCTTCAAATCCTCTGTCACTTCGTTTCGCTTTCAGCGGTAGCTCGTTTCTCATTCCCGGCGACCGGCTGGACGATGCTTGTTTTTAGTGCCCGGTGTGCGCTTTGCCTCGCGCGCAGACGTGCAATTGCTCTCCCTCTCTCTTTGACTTTCCTTTGGTCTTTCGCTTCGATTCTAGTTGGTGAGATTTCGTATTCTTAATGCAATTGTTTAGCTCTCTTTCTCTCTTTCTCTCTTTGTAGCAATTTACCTTGCGACGTGCTAATTCTAATTAGGATTAATGAGATTCTGCCATAGATTCTTTGCTCCAACTATCTAGAAGCTAACAATTCCATTTCATTTTATTTTATATAATGAAATTTATACTCGTTGCTGTACACACACACACATGCACACACACACACACACACACACACACACACGCACACACACACAACAATAAAATCGCGACACAAATGCGAGAAGCAATATTATATAGGCTTATATAGGCGAGAGTGTACTTTAATTCTGAATTTTTATTAGTGTAAATTTTAGGTACTGCATATATATATATACATTGATCTTACAAAAGGTCCATTTGTTATTATTTTATAACAGATTCAATTAATATCATCATAGATTAAAAATTATTTTACAATATGCGTTCGAATTCAGCATACGTTTACGTTAAATACCTAATAAATAGAAAAAAGACTATTGAATTGAGTTTCAATTACGATTTTTGTGAGAGAAAGCTACAATAATATACAAAATGAAAGTGATTAGTCTGCAACTATCCGATGGCACAATTCATCGATTTTGTATCAATTGTTATCTTATAATATTCTTAAAAATCAATACATAATGATAGATTTTCATTTTTGAATCAATAATGTGACTGTCGCGAGATCACGAGGAACAGGTCATTGACTTGTGTAGAAGAGAGAAGGTTACGGTCTAGTTGTACGTACCGCCCACGCAGCAGTGCATGCTGCCAGAAAATATCACCGCCCCAGGGAATTCTGTTTCTGTATTTCCAGTTAACATCGGAGCCTTTAGTGCTGACGCTTGGGATAAAGATCGTTCACACAACAGTTGTCTTTTCAGGGTCGAGTGTGACAAATATGACTTTCATTCTAGGTTACTGCTAATTTTTTCGTTTGGACTTAAAAAAATCGTTTTTTCTCTTCATTGTGAAGAAATTTTAACATATAGCGGCCGATAACGCAGCGATTTGAGTTATGAAGTTGTTATCTGATAAATTTTCAATTATATTGAATTTCTTATTCATAAATTTCATATACATTTATTTTCAATCCAAAAGCTCCGTTATGGTAATAAAAGTTAATTTGAAATTATAATTATCGAAAAATGCTCGAGGAAAAAAGCGATCAAATTAATGAAAATGTAGATTTTGTAAAATTTAGGAGGGTGAATGATCGTGAGAATAAAGCTTCTTTAAGAGCGGTAAAATTCAAACTTGGTAAAAGCAAAGGTTATCGTTAACTTTAGTGAGTTTTCTGTCCAGTTGGAAATGAGAAAGAGGTGTTTGCGCAAAAAAAAGTCGGTGACGATTTTGCATTCCCTCTCCGGGAGCCCAAACACGTGGGAATGTCATCATCCTCGTGTACCCACGCTTTTTGCGCTCGACCATTTGTTATTCGTCAAATCGATTGGCCCCGACACAACAATAACATTTCTGCACCACGCGCGCTTCATAACGACTCGTTTGTCGAAAAATGCTCTCAGCGTAAATTATTTACTCCGTGCACTCGAAACATCCGGTTACACGCAGTATAACGCCAAAAAAAGGAAAAAAAAGTCATCCACCTCGTAAATAAGTCGCCGGCAGCTATACAGCAAGAGAGAAAGAAAGAGAGAGAGAGAGTCGCAGAGAGGGAGTCTGCGCGTGCGGCTGCCGGCCAGATGGTGTATAGTATGCCGGCTACACATCTCGCGCCGTAGTCAGTCGCTGTTACGACGCGGCGTCGCACGCAAGCACTCGCCCGCCCACGCTCTGCTTTTCAGTTAAATTACTTTGAGAACTCTGGCCCAAAGAAGAAACATCAACGGAGCGGCCGATCGGAGACAATTGTTAGTTGAGGCAAAATACATCAGTTTGAACACAAGTGCGCCGTTGCTCTTTTCCGCTGGTGTTGGTACGAGTATAAAGAAAAGTACACGCGAGCGATCGTATATTTTTGGCTCAGCCTGCGCCGGAAGTTTATTTTCGTCGTCGCAGCCAGCAGCAGCAGCAGCCGAAAGTTTCTCTCTCTAGTGAACTTACGAGTGCTGGAAATTCTCTTGTGCGCGCGCAAGAAGCTTATTTATTTATCCGTGCAGGCTCATACCCACTGCCTTCCTTCCGCTTTTTTCTTTCACTTTCCAGTAACCACGTCCAAACTTGTGACGAAGCCCACTGAATTTTTAATCAGGCCGGCTTTCATTATTTGAAGCTCGAGGCAGCGCGAGCGAGCATAAATTTTCGCGCGTCGTTTTGGCGTTCAAGCCCTCATGAATATGGTACATCGTCTGACGCGAGAAGGATAAGAGGAAGAAATGGGACACTTGCATGGGACCGAGAGCTGATAATATCGCTGGCTCCGAGGCAGAGAAAAGGAGAACAACAAAACTATCGCGCGACGCGTCGAGTAGGCTTTGCACGATGGCAGGCCTGTATATCGTCTGGGTGGCACTGTCCACGCTAGCATCGATACTCGCTTGCGCTGGATTTTATCTGCCTTATTGGATTCAGGTGAGAAGTTTGGATGTTGTTGACATCGTACTTTCTTCTTTTTAACAGTATTATTAACTAAGAAAACAATTCAGATACAATTTTAGGAGGAAACAGCCGTAAATAATTCATTAGCAGATATTAAATGTATTCTTTAATCGAAAGCGAACGTAATCGGTTTTGGTAATTATTAGTTTTTAGAAATGACTTAAGATACTTGTACTTCACTAAAAATAGTCAACTTTATTATATTAAATATTGCATTTTCAACAATCTTCCGTTACACTAGTACATTGGTATGTTAAAAAAAATTTTCTTAAATATCTCATATTTTAAATTAAGAAGAATTTAAGAATTGAACTGATTTTTTGAATCACATCACGCTAATTTTGATAGAACAAAATTCATCAAAATGTAAAATTACTTAATTGCGAAATGCAATACATTAATATATGGAAATAATATGCTTATTCTGAGGCGTATGTACTTGTCAACGAGTCCGCTTACATGATATTTCACGATTATCTTTGTACATGTCATTTATGATTTATTGTGATTTTTATGGATTTCTGCTTACCACAAATAAAATTATTTATACTCGTACAGTATCCAAAGTTTTATCTATTAAAAAAGAACAGTTTTATTGTAGTATTAAGAGTTAATTGACTAATACCCATATTTTATAAATATATAAGCTAATTTCATATCAAGAAGTTCCGATTTTGTTCGAAAACCGATTAAAAATAATTCAGTGTAATTGCCACGAAGGTGTCGTATCGAAACTTCAAGAAAAAATGAAACAAAGAAGAAGTCTATCCATTTTTATCGCTCGTCTTCGATAATACCTAATCAAACGTGAAAAATCCTCGAAATTTCCGTGAAAGCATTGAGAAAGAAAGAGTGTCCTATTAGATTTCTCTCGATGTTTCCGCTCGAGCTTTCTTTCTCCAGAGCACACTGCGAAAAGTTCGTCTCGACTTATTATACGCGGTAATGGCTGTTCACGCCGGACGCAGCTTCTCTTTCGCTGTTTTATCCTCTCCGCCCTTCTTTTACTCCCTTGCTCTCACTCTCTTCTAGTAAAGAGAGAGACAGAGAGAAAGCCATTTTTTCGATGACCCCTTGTATAACGGCAACTCGTTTTATTTTACCGCGTTGCTTTCGCGCACTATACCCCCCGGATATTTTCAAGAAAGTTTCTTTTTTATACTTTGCCCCGCTGACGTCGTTATCCCGAAGACAACGGACAATAAACAGAAAATTAACGAGCTGTGTGTTTATGCTCTAGGAATGTTACTTTGATAATACCTTCGCGTACATTTTTCGCTTGACTACTGCTTCTCTAGAAATTTTCTACCACTATTTTGACCTTTAATTTTTGTTCAATTTTTCTACGTTAAATACCAAATGAAACTTCACGCTCATTCCGCGCAAATGAATTATCGTTGAGTTATCGATGTTGCGCGTTGTGTGTCGGCATATCAAGTCGAATTTTTACAAAACCAGCTTTGCATAGTATCCCAATTCCATTTGGATTTAGCTTATACTTAGTTTGATATTTCTTTTTCCAAGGTATAAATAAACCTAAAATTACTTCAATCTTTTTCAAATAAGAAAGAAACATCGATTTTCGCTTATATTCGACACACACATATATCTGATAGTAAGCAGGGCAACAGCTCCTTTTCCATCCCGCAAGCAGTGCCAATTTCAAGTTACCTCGCGCTATTGAAACATGAGAAAGAGACAGCCGCTGCGCTCGCGAGAAATTCATTTTAGCAAAGTACACATGCAACATGCGCGCGTTTCCGGGCGATACTCGAGTTGCTGTATAGTTGCTCTGTGCTTAGAATTTCTGTGAAGCTAGGATGTGCGTAAAATAAAAATAAATAAGGGAAGCAAAAGGAGTTAAAAAACAAAGCTGCAAGTACGAGCGAGGGCAATCAGCCACTGGCACCATCTGCGCAAGTGTAACGAGTCGACATTTTGTACGACCTCGCTATACGTAAGCGAAAAAGAAGGTTACGCGTTCCGCAAGTGATACCGAGTTGGCCCCGACTCATTTTCCTGCAAAATACTGACGACTGGCTTGTTGGTGGGCTGGCTTTATTTTTAATTAGTCGCTTGATACTTTTTCTACATAAACTTATTCCTTTCGCTCGTGAACCGACATTTTATGTCTGCCGGATACAGTTTAACTGATAATTTCACTCGATTTCATGATAATTTCCTTTGCTAATTTATATGTGTATATATATATCTGCATAATTAATACTTCCGATGATGCTCCAGCTGTTTGTTCGTATACAATACAACTGATTGCTTGTAAAATGATAATAGCCCAGATTTTTCTTTTAATTTTCAATCGAATTACCATATGAAACAATACAAGCTATCGTCAAAAGGAATAAAGCCTCAGCCATTCCAATAATCAACAAAAAGGTTGCATTTGTCGTTCATTAATTTATTCCCGCATTACTGGCTGAAAAAGAGTTTATACACATGTACGAGGGTTGCCTAATGACGAAAACGAAAGATCAATCAAATAAAGTAATTGAAATTGAAATGAGAGCTTTCAATGTCGTCGAGTTTGCTTTGAACAGTTGACCTGTCGTGTATATAGCTGTTTCCAAATGTCATTCAAAGCGATAAGATCAGATTAATAGGATTATTAGTTAAATGTTGCAATCAGCTGACGCTCCCACTTGTATTTTGAGTGATGTCCATCGATCAAAGGAACCCATGCGTACGCTGTAGTAACGCGTTGCAAAAAAAATATCGCGAGAAGGTTTATACGCGGAAAGGAGTGAATTCAAAATTGGGATGAGAGAGAGCAAGGGGATCGTCAAGTGAGAGATTTACAAGTGAAATTTTGCAGTGAGTCGCGTTAACTGGCTCGATAAAGCGAATGAAAAAGATGCTTTTTAATTGCCTCGTAAAAGTGATTCACGGCTTCACGGAAAACGATTGCTGTTAAAGTCAGAACCGGTAGTCAAGAAAGCATCTCTCTCTCTCTCTCTCTGTGAGAGTATATAAGAGTGACTGGTAGATCGATATTTGACGACACCTTGCGGGAATTATAACGCTCGCTCGATATTTTCAATTGCGTGCCAGTATGCGTTTAGTTCGACTAAGTTTGCCGACGCGCATCGACTTCCGTAAATCACGTGGATTCGGTTTGAGAAGAAAGCGAATTATTTTTCCTCGCGAATGGTCAGGAATTATCCAACCGTGTGATATTATGCAAAGGATCTAGGTGGCGCGTCGTGTAATAATTAATCGCGTTCCTCGCCTCACGCTCAGTGCAGAACTGCGCGAGAGTTTAAAGGCTCTGCTTGCAGCCACCTGCGCGGTACACGCGACGACTCTTTTTGAGGCATAGCTTTTGCCCGCTTAGGTGCGAGCACGACTGTCTCGAGGAGTTAGTTTGTTAGGGTGATTAGCTGCTGCATTATTCATCTCGTGACATGTCCGCTCTCTCTCGCTGTAGCTTTCTCCAAGTACTTTTACAAGTACGCTACTTTGAATATACTGGTAATTTTTTCGATAATGGAATTGTTAGGGAGATACCAATGACTATTACTGTATATCAATTTTGAAATAATTTGTTTTACACTGAGAAACGGATGAATGCTTTCCGAGTAGCTGGAATAGTAGGGACTGTGTATTCCTGCAAATTATCCGAAACGGGTACGTATACACGGCGACCCCTATACAAGCGTGTGCATTCCGAGCAAAGGGTATATCGTATATTCGTACTTTGATGGCTAATCATCAGACGCATCCTCTGAAAGTCAAGTCGGGTAAGTGTATACACGTCAGCACGTGCACGTACACAAAGAAACACCAGAGACAACATTACTATGCTTAATTAATAGACTCCATGCGATGTTAATGGAAACTCTAATCTGTAACTATTTAACGGTCTACCGGAATCTCGCTTTAGAGATTCGTAACGAAAAACAAAACTTTATTCTCTCTTGCTTCTTTATAATGATTTAGAACGGAAACAAAATTTGAATCACAAACATACGTTAGAGAGAAAGAAATTTTAGAAAGTTTGTTTCATTCAAATTTATTTATAGTTTTTCATTGGGAAAACAGTTTAAACGTTCGAGATCCAACTCGGATACTCGCAAGCGATAACAATAGTCAAATAAATATTGACTGTAAGAGAACTCAAACGCCAATCCTATCATTCGAACGAATTGAATTCCCTCCCTCCTCCCTTTCTCTCTCTCTCAGTTTCTTTTGTGCGAGTACACGTCAAGGTAGATAGAGAGAAATGAGATGAGTTCTCTTTAAGCAGGGCTTGCGCGTGGAAGACGACGGTTTGCGAGGTAGAGAGAGGGAGAGGGAGAGAGAGAGAGAGAAAAAGAAGAAGATGACGACGCTGTTGTTACTGCTGCCAGCAGAACGAGCTAAAGCCAGGACACAATGCCTCGAACAATGTCGTCCCCGAGAGCGTCGACCTTAATACGACGTGAGAGCAGCAGTAGCTAGCAGCAGCCTCTGGAATACGCGCGGAGAGAGATCCGCCTGGTCGTTCTCCACTGAGTTTCTCAATTAGCTGTAAATATGAGTTTTCTTCGGCAGAAACACCACTTTTGGCTGCTCTTAAGCTCCACGTATATACACGCGCGAATAGATTTAGTTTTGTCTTCGGGTGGATCTTTTGCGGGTATGCGAGATTTTTGGCCGATGTTTGCGGCTAATGGAATTGCAATGCTAGTGGACATTTTACGGCGTTTCTTTGTCGGCGAATTATAAAAGTTTTCCTCTGGTGGATCTGTTTATTTTTTCTGCATCCTCGTAACCTTGGAACATGGCTGTCTAATTCATACTTTCGATAAATTTCTTTTTTTAGATATCGTCTAGTTTGTTCTCTAAATTTAAAAAGATTATTTTTCAGAACATCAAAATTTCGTAAAACGTAAATTTCAAGGAAGAAAAAAAAACAGCATCAAAGTTCATTCATATATCAGCTGTAATGAGTTGAACATTCAGTTAATTAAATTCAGTGCCGGCGAGTTTGTAGGTTAATGTTCACTTCGAAAGTTGGAATGCAAACAGCTCACTTTGGAAATTAAAGTGGACGTGACGCTTTCGTTCAATGCCTGGCTGTATATACGCGAATCCAAAGCGCTTCTCAACGGCTTTTTATGAGTACTGGATTTAAGCCAAATGCGATAGGTACAGTCCTTTGCCACCCATTCTTTCCGTGCAATTGCAAAGTAGACTAAGATTCTCCTCCGAAAGAAAGTTTTCAGTTGTCATAACGTCTAGTTACTACCATTGATTGTCATGGCAATAAAAAAAATGAACTAATTGCGATTCTTTTCAAACTCAGCGGTGATAATAGCTTCAAGATAAAAATTTTGTTGAATATGGGAAACGTAATACAAATTAAGTGAAAATATGCTTGAAGCTGACGTTTCAACTAAAATTATCGAGTGAAAATCCGTCGGGTGTGAAACTCGGGAAGTCCACTTGGTAAAGTAATTAAATTTCGCGAGCCCAGCATGTTGGGTAGTATTTGTAGTCTACGCTAAAATTGTTATTACTGCAAATATTTGGGTACCCAGCGTATGAACGACCGCGTATGCAGCTGTATTCGTTTGGCTGGTCGAATCAAAATACGGTATAAACTCACTCTATTTACTGCTGCGTCGTGTCATAACATTCTTGAAATAGCTGTATGTTGAAGCAAAGTTTCAATTCCCATTTTTTTTCTAATGGTAAACTCCAAACAAGCTACAAATTAACATCTGACGACCAAGAGAAAATCATATAATTTTTATTTCCACCTGTTCACAATGATTGATTACGATGCTCCTATTATCTTTCAACTAGTCTTTAACTTTGAGCGCGAATAGAAATTCACATCAATTTGAAATGTAATGCTGTTATTTAAATGAGGCGCGAATGTACAATGATATTCGATTCTCTTTATACTGTAAAATTAATCATCCAAATGTGAATATCCATTTACCAAATACACGCGCACAAATCGATCGAGTTTTCCTATAGTATCATTTCCAGAGCTCTCGTCGCAATTACCAATTGCAATAGTACGGAAACCGATGTGAAGTGTAAGGTTACATACACGATGAATCGCTACATAGCCCATAGGCAAAGATCTGGTTAGAATTTCGGTCGTATGAATATAACATGAAATCCCTTCCCACGGCCATTGAATGATATTTTCGTCGGTCGGATGCTGCGAGATATAAGTGAACATAACGAGCGATAGGATCGTAAACGCCCGGGAAGCTTGCGTGCATGTGTCGCGCATCGTTAATAAGTACATATTAATGCTCATATATGCTCGGGGGGAATATTTGAATTTGGGCGCAAATCTACGGGCATATTATATGCGGCAAGCTCACGAAGGCATAAATTAAAGTTATTTGTATGTGTCTGCGTGAAATTAACGCGGCGCTGTATGGTTAACGAGCGTTTCATGCTTATTAGGCGTATTTTTGCTTGGCGGTCGCAGGAAGAAAGACGCTAATTGTGCGTGGCCTATTTTTTTAGTGGTTTTGGGCACACGTTGCTTGCAAATTTTAGTTTTGAAACACCTCCGTTGTTCCGTAGCAGTATATTTTTTTATCTTACTTTTTCAAAAACACCAATCAGAATTTCTCCACGGCAAATGCTTCACATTCTGAAGAGATGTAAAAGGAGCCCACAAACTTTTTATGCATAATCAAGTTTATTCAAATCCACTCATTCGTGAATAAAGCCCTTAGTATGCTTGTACGTTTGTACAACTACTAAAAATAGAAGTAACGAGGATAAAACGAGTCAATTTATAAAGAAAAGAATAACTAAACGAATAATCATTTCTACGCAAAATATGTTAACTCGCGTATCTCTTGAATTCTTCCACGGCTCTTGCTAACCCCGATGCATCTCTTGCATACGGTTTTTTGCTCGGAGCTCCATAGCTTTACCATACAAAAGCACTTAGTTAAATGGCACAGGACGAGGATGAGAAGAAAGTGAGTAGCGCAAGAGTTCGGGAGGGAGATAAAAAGAGAAAAGTTGAGAGGAAGAGAAGTGAGAGAAAGAGTGGAACCCGTTAACTTTTCAACTCAAGGGGAATTGCTAATTGAATCCCTAGAAAGGCTGCTACATGAATCATTCCGTTTTCCAAGACTGCCAAAGTAAAAAAGTTAACGTTGCATGGATAATGTTACACAAGTCGGTAATGAGTAGGTGAGGATCGATAAGGTGTTTTTATATTCCCTTTGATGTCGGGTGAATTTCCTCGGGAAAAAAAAGTTGCCGGAAACTTTAATAATGTATTGATATTGGATCTTTCTGCACAACTTCAATGCATATTAATATGATTCGTAAAAAAGCGACGACACGAATATATGACTATTGAAATATAGAAATATAGAAATTTCTTTTGAAGCATTTTTATTAAAATAAAAATAAGTTTGTTATATTCTTGTATCGCACATATCTTTTTTGCTTACCTAAAAAGATTTAGTTTTTATATTTTATTCATTTTTCATTTTTGCAATATTAATTGCCATAACTTTTAACGAGTAAAAAACCAAACAGTTGCTAATAATACTCATAGCAACATTGTACGAATGCAAACTTTAAGGTGTCTCGCCCGCAGAGCCGAAGAAGCGTGATAGCCGACCGGGTCGACCGAACGGCAATGGAGACAATCGAGGGAGTGCTCCGTTACTATTAAAAAATTATGTAAAAGAACGAATTTCTTATGAATTATAGAGTTACCACTCATGCGTGCGCTCTAGAAAATTATTAATAAGTATCATGTGTATATAGAAAAGAAATATAGCCAAAGTACGGTTACAAAGTAAAGTGGTAGAACTCCTGCTATTTCCTTAAATGCTGTATGAAAGACAGGAAGGAAGCTAGATTTCGAAAAAAGTTTGGTCTAATTATTTTTGCAAAGCTATACGTGGAAAGTTTGGTACAGGTATGAGTGCATACCATCTGGCTGCGCGCAAGCTTATCCTTATAATGATTCAGCGTCAGTGAATTTTCTCGTGCGATAGATGTTCCAAACACATTTGCATATTCCATTAGTTGAGCTTTAAATGAAAAGAAAAAACACGCGCGTGCGTGTGTTGCAGGGTAAGCTGTTAGGTAAAGCGGATGCCTACTTCAGTTCGTTTCGCCGCTGCAATTACCCGAGAATCCGGCCACCCCGCAACGCCCCGGAGATCGTCTACGAGTGTGCAAGATACTCGAGGTAAGTTCTCGTTTTTTTTTCTGTTTTCTTTTTCCTCCTCTTTTCGTTTTTATCGTTCTTTCTCTCTCTCTCTCTCTCTCTCTCTCTCTCTCTCTCTCTCTCTCTCTCTCTCTCTCTCTCTCTCTCTCTCTCTCTCTCTCTCACTCTCTCTCTCTCTCTCTCTTTTTCAAATGCCAACTGGCGGCGCGTCCGCAGGCCGGCAAAATGGATTTTGCCGCGCGGATTGCGCGCTAATGAAAATACGCCGAGCCATAATTTAGTACCGAGGCGGAGCTCGTTGCTGCTGGCGCTCGTGCTGCTGCTCAGATACTGAATTTCTTTCTTTTTTTCGCACCGTAAAATTTCAAGTTATTATAGGCCAAATATGATTACGCGTGGACGAGAAAATCGCGTCTGTTGCTCTTTACAACCATAATTTTACTCGATCTTGTGGGAAGCGCGCAAATGTAATTATTTGATATCGTTTTGATCCGCTTCCTCTTTATTATCCTCGCGGTCAACCATATGCGGCAAAGAATAAACCCATTCGCCGTGAATAACGTTGTTTTTTTTTTCTTTAGTAAAAAAGCAAACTTGCGTGTTTCGATAACGAAAGAAAGAAGCGACAATGTGCTTACCCGCGAGATTTGTTTTGAAACAGGCGTGTCGTGAATCCTGATCTAGGATTTTTCATCCGATTACTCCTCAGTCCACAAATCCAATGCGCTGTAGAGTAACGAACGCGTTATCGTTAAACGAAAACAACTCCGCATTTAAATACGCTTGAGCGAGTCACGGCAGCAGTGGTAGCCAGCCAAAATCGAAATCCTCTGCTGTCGATTTTATCGGTGCCTCGGGGTGTGGGCGGAAAAAAAAGCAAAAAAATCTCGGTCAACCGTTGAAAAACGAGAAAACGCCTCGTCGCGCGTAAATCGCACGCACCGCGTGTGTTGGGTACTGCATTTGCGGCAACGTGGCGTTCGCATTAGTCACCTGTGCAACTCGCTCGACTGAGCTCCAACGGGAGCATTCGCTTCTTCGTGAGAAATAGTCTGCGCGTGAGATATTGATTAGAAATTTTACTTATAAATGGATTCAAGGAATTGATTTTAACTGAAGTTAAAAGTAGTATGGGAAGGAGGTAATATTTCACAATTTTATCGGTGATCTTGTACCATTTTGAAATCTTATTTTTTGATAAAATATTGTTGGTATTTTCGGATTGGAGCAAATATAGATAAACCGATATTCAGCGCAATTCCAACATGTGCCGGTTATAATTTTGTTGTTTTTGTCACATATCTATGTGTATTTCAAAAATATCAGCAATAGTAAAATAAAAGTTAAAGAAGTTATTTATGTGAACCAACACGTTTTATTTTCCGATAATTTAGAGTTACTGGAAAAGATTTTTCAAACTCCATCACAAAATATCTGTCCATGTATTTATTTGTTTTACTTAAAAATTATCAAACTGCAAAGTAAAATGACGATTACAACTTCCTTCGTGAAGAAGTTTTGAAAGTCTATTGAAATTTCTAAGTGAAAGAGGATTGTAAACTTCTCGAAAATCTATAAATGTTCAATAACTTCGGTTCTTCGCAATGTAAATATTGTTTGAGTTTGTAACTGTCTTTAATTACAATATAAAAGTTGATATTATGCGTTGCATATAATTTTCAAACGCAAAGCTATTCAGTAACAGCTGGGTCATTCATTATAATGTATCATTTATTATAATGGATCAACAAAATATTCGTTATAATGTTCAACTGTATTATCTAATTCTTTGATTATAGCGGTTCAACTGTGGACGTCTCCATGCTAACACGGTGCAATTTTTCATCGAATTCTATTAGCAAGCGAAACGAAAAAAAATGTACGCTTCGTTCGTACAGAGGTGTGACCCGACCAACCAGCTTTTGAAATCCAGCGCGTCAATTAAAGCTAGACGTACCGTAAAAACTGCGGTACGCGAGAAAAAAAATTTTTTTCTATACCGTCTCTCGCCCAGTGGGAATAAAAACGTTGCGGACACGCGAGTAGGCGGTGACGCGCCACTGAAAATACGAGAGTGTGAGTCCCGAATAACAAACACGTGAACATGGCTTCAGACGTTTCTCTCTCTCTCTCTCTCTCTCTCTCTCTCTCTCTCTCTCTCTCTCTCTTTCTACCTAGCGCGCAGCTGCTCCGAGGTCTTGTTTCCGTATTTTTCGATTTGGTGTTGTGTTCTGGACAAGCCAGCGAAGAGCCTCTATATGAGGTTGACAATCCTATTGACCCTTGTATTGTGTCATGGCTCTCCTTTATTCCGTGGAATTTTATCGCTGTGTGCGAGATTTTTGGATTTTATTTTTTCATGGGATGATTGGAAACAAGATTTTATTAATTTAAGGATAGTCGTAGTTTGATCTAGCGAAAAATTGATAGTCCGATTTTTATTAGTATTTAAATATATATAAAATCTTTTTCACAAGAAAAATATATTTTTCACACAAATAAAATAACATTTTAGAATACAAACTCTAATAAGCGTAGAAACACTTTACAGAATAAGAAATACGAAATTGTAACAAAGAACAAATGAAATGACAATCTCAACAACTCTTCAAAGCTGATCTTTTCCCCCATTACGAAATGAACCATGTCGTTTTGCTAGTCTGACAGAGCGATTTGCCCCATCATAGAATCTGTCGCGGGCACGCACAGGCGCGCGCAAGAAAATTTCACGAGCGAGCAGTAGTAACAGCAGTGGCAGCAGCGCGCACGTCTCGAGAATAATTGGAATCGGCAGTCGCGTTAAAGTCACGTTTGAGAGTCAATGTCTGACGTTGCAGCTTCTGGGACATCCCAAGTCCGTGGTGGCAGGCGAGTACTGTGACGATGAGCTTTGGCTTGGCCTTTGCGGTCATCGGTACCCTTACCCTCCTTGCCGCTGCAGTTTCCTTTTTGCCGCACGTACTCAAGAGCCCAAGGCACACCCGGCTACTTGGATCACTTCAACTCGTCGCAGGTTGGTTCATTGCTTTTTTTTATTTGCTTACTCCTACCTACATCATTAAGAAAAAAGATAGATATATACGTTATCGGTATCCCTTTTTCTTTGAGACACTTTGACCATCGTTCCGACGTCATATTTTTCACATTTCTAATATTGCTTTTTTGTAATCAATCAGTGGATTATAATATTTGATTTGGAAGTAATTAGAATAATAGAAAAGTTATTTCATGAGTTAGTCTCGTATACTGGATCCGCATTCAAAAGAAAATGAAAAGAAGAAATTTCGATCGGAAACTTTATACATCTTATCGATAAATTCATCAGAGGTTCACCTCAGAAATATCCCTGAAGAAAGAAAACTTCTGAAATCTATCTGAGCCATTGCACAGTCAATTCTATTACTCGGTGAAACGTTTCAATTTTGATACACGCGAACGCAGCAGCACTCGAACGATCAAGAAGAAAAAAGGGGTTGGGTGTGCTTTAAAAGCAAGGCGTTGGAGCTATAATATACTTTCGCCATCGGTTTCAACGAGTGAGCTTTAAGGTGGAAAAAAGGAGATCGCGCGGGCAAAAGAAAAATCTGGGCTCCTTCGACCGCGAGTCGAGAGAGGAGCTACACTTCGGGAAATTCGATCGAGGGTCGCCTTTTTTTCAGGTTCACTCGCGGCAAGGGATTTAGTCTTCGGTCTCTGCCGCTGCTACCTTTATTCTGCGCTTTGACCTTTGATGCCAAGATCGTCGTCGACGTCGTCTCTCTGTATTTCCGGTTTATTTTTCTTTGCCACCGTCCTCGCGCGATGCTCTTTTGCACTCGGATGCAAATCGCCACTCGACTCTCTGCTGGCTTTGCAACAAGACTGTTTTCTTTCTTTTGCTCTTCCCTGATGAAAGCCAACAAGAAGCAGCTAAGAGTTCGCTGTTTGTTGCTAATGGACGGATGGTTTTTGTTACACTGCGCTTTCGTTGAATACGCATTCTGAACGAGTATCACTTTACCCGAGTTCTTTCTCTTATTTTAAAAACTTCGTCTTTTCAAAAGAAATTAATTGTACTTTGCAAGTGGCCGTTTGTACGTTGTATCGTGACAACTCTACGAATAATATTACCTGCTTTTTTTGGAAACATTTCGTGATAATATCGTATTTGTTTTTCGTAATGCGAAGTTATCATCAAAATAATCAAATTATTTGTATCGAAAAACAATCCGTTACGGACATTTTATACTGAAATATCAGTCAATATCTGCTGATAATTCAATCAGAATAACTCATGCATTGACAGTGAATTTAATATTGAATACCGACATACTTAGTATTAAAAATACATAAAAAATAATTGGAATTATCCATAATAATTGAATCTGTCAGATTACATATACAATACCCGAAATTCTCAGTATCCGTCAAATAAATTGATCGTATTATTTTTTTCTGTCCACAGCAACGATGATATGCGGAGGTCTGATAATGTATCCCGTCGGCTGGGATAACCGAGAGGTACGAGAATCCTGCGGCAAGGGAGCCAATGTCTACAATTTAGGTATGAGAGCTATTTTCGCACAACCCTATCACACTCAGAACACCCTTGAGTTATAACGCGCGCTTGTTCAGTTTTATACCAAATTCGATGATTTAGTTTGTTTACGTTCTCTCTTTGCTTTTTTTCATATGCTATGACTGATTTAATGGGCGGGTTCTCTGTAAAATGCTATAGTTACGCCTCGCTTGCACTGCAAATGCATTTGAGCTCGATAAATTAGGGGATACACGCACCGGAATAGAACGGGCGTTGAGATTATATTCGCTCGTGCCAGCAGGAAATACGAATTTATGTGACGATGATTGCCCGGATTTATTGATGTTATCAATTGATTGTTTGAAGTTTGATCTACGACTCGAAATTTTACGGATGAAATACGTAGCTACGCTTGGACACGGACGTAGTATGATTTTCTCGCGTGAAATTGATATACAAAAGATAAAACTAACCAGCGTTACGATATGAGAACGTGGATTTTACGGATTCAGTAGAGAGCAAGATTGCGCTACTAGAGATTTCGCTTCTCCCTCTACGTGACGACCCGCATTTTGGTCGGACCTTCTCTAAACGTTCTACGATCGTCCGTGTAATGACGCAGTTTGATTCCGTCCCTCTGTGTAAACTAACGTCAAGTCCAACGGGTCTAAAAGAAAAAATAAAAGTGCGTGGCTGGACGTGCCGGAAGAGAAGGAGAGATAAAAATAGAACGTCAACAGTGAAATGCTCTCTTGTCCATTGGAATATTTATAGAGAAATTTAAGGTTATCGCTGGCTTCGAAACGAGCAAAGTGTCCACGTCTGCAGCTGACTCTTTTCTGTGACACAAACTTCATTCGGCTGTCGTTCGCTTCTTTTCCTTTCTTTCATTGAGAAAAATGTAGCGCGTTTTCATTTTTCAGCAAGTTGTTTGTTTCCACCGAAGTTATTATCTTCCGTGATTGCCCAGTACAATGTCACTGAGATCAACTCTAGTAAATCGTGGCTTAATTGGATACACCAACTGTAAGAAACGATGATAATTATCCCGTTGAAACACATACCACGTAGCTTCATAGAAACAATCTCTCTTTCAGGAAGCTCAATAAGTAGAACGTAGATTACACTGGAAACGTTAAATAGCTCTATTTGGTCCAACGTTTCCTCCTACACACATAAGAGAATCATTTCTCCGACAACTCGAGGGGAAAAATAAACAGTGCAAAGGCGGAAAAACGATCCGAATTATCCCTTCTTCTCCTAGCCGTCGTCTTATACGTCCGTGATGTGTCTCTGCCACGAGGCGAATAAGGGGGAGATAAGCGCTTACGAAGAAGAGAAAAAACCACGCGCCACGGTTCCCTTTCAATCTTTCCTCAGAGAATCTCGGCATTTAAATATTTCAGTAAGCACACACCCTACAGCCGCCCGCTTGCACGCTGCTGGATATTTATATCCTTTTCGACTATTCGATAACGCTTCACGTTTATCTCCGGGACTTGTGTTTATTTTGTGTCTCTCTCTCTCTCTCTCTCTCTCTCTCTCTCTCTCTCGCTATTTCGCAGAGATTTAGCGCGATACTTACTATTTATTCGACGATTTATCGTGATACTATGGGATTTAATCGGTTAGAAATTATAAACGCTTTACGGAGTGTGTCATTTATTTCTTGGAAGTGGAATTAATTTGGGAGTCGGAATTCATTGTTTGATTACTTGAATAATCGCTTTACCTCTAACAAGATTGGCAGTAATTTATCATTTTTATACATGTGTGAAGTGAAAAAATCGTAGTAATTGATAACAAAAATCGATAAAAAATTGCGTTGCCTTGATGTTTCAGGGAGGTGTTCGGTATCTTGGTCGAGCTACCTACTGATAAGTTCGATAGCTTTGCTGCTACTGTGTTTCGGCTTGAGTTTATGTGCAGCACGACACAAGCCAAATCCCGAGGACCCGCTGCGCATCTGACACTTAAGAAAGTCGATTGACGCTTACTCGGCGAAGCATCAGGAAGCTTCGGCAACAAAGCTGTCCATCGTCACGGTTTGTTGATCGCGATTCCTTCGGCGCCTTTTACGGCTGCCGATATTCGTTCTTCGTCTCTTCTGCAACGCTCGCAGGTGAGCGAATAACCTACAACCCCGTAACCCTGTACATACATTGTTATAAAAAAATCGCTTTACCGGCGGTCGATAACTCGTATCAAATTACATTGTTATGCTGATCGATCATTATAGCTGTTGACGTGGAAAAATCAAAAGAATTTGATAAAAGTATTACATGTTTGTACATAGAGATTTTCACGATTGTTTTCCGGGAAATTGTTGATGATTTCAAACAGGACTGCATTTTGATGCAGCTGACAATATTAAGATCTGGTGTTCGATACTTATTATGAAGATATAGTTGACTTCGGCAGAATTGAACGTCTTGGCCTTACTTAATTTATATTCGCTATACATGATCTATTTTTTAACATGCTGCTTCGCATCTATGAGTATACCTTATGAATAAAATCAGAATGCCATTTATAGATGTTTTTATATCATCATACTAATCTCGGATTTATCATAAAAGTAACTAAAAAATATACGTAAATTTCCGATCTTTAACAAATAATAGCCAAGCATAGAACAAAATGACAAACGAAAAAAAAACTCACTCTATTGATTTTAAAACTAAATTGGCATAAAATTAATCTCAGGTAAATTTCTCTCTTCCGATCTCTGAAAAATCTCACGAGTCAATTCTCTCGTGGAAAGTGAGGACTCTAGAAAAAATGCGCGATAATCAAGTTGAGGCTTCGCCGCACCACCGGTAAAATCTCGAATGATCGAATGTGTGTGTGAAAATAGGACGACACATGGGTGGCAGCAGTAGTATTGGAACAAAAAGGAAATAAAAGACGAATAGCAAACGAGGTAGATCTCTCTCCCGCTCTCTACTTTAATCGAACCAAGAGCCAAAGACATTAATTTTGTTCCCGAGCTCTCGATTTTTTTTTAGAGCCTCGTTTGCACGTTCGGGAAAAGCTCAGCCGATGCTCAATGAATTTTGCACTGACTCTTCTCTTTGTTTGGTTACTCTGACGCTTTCCGGTGAAAAAAGCTAAAAGTTGAGCGAGGGCAGGTAGCTTTTAACTTTTTTTTTTCATCTGTCGAAGCTTGTTCGTTCTATTTCTAGAAGTGACTTTTTTACCAGATGTATTCCTTGAATGAGGTAACTCGATTTATTTCTGAAGTAATTACTTTTCTTCGTTTCATTATGAAAGTTTTCAACTACCGAAAAAGTTTATCATCTTTTGGTTAATACTTTACAGAAATATTTGTCTTTAGCAAAAGCAGCCAAATACAGTTTCATATACTATTTATCGTACCAAATGATGCGTTTCATTCATAAATTTCGATTAGTTAAAAGTGCGATTGCCTTGAATAATGTATGTTCAAACCATAACGTATCTAGTAGCATTGTACGAGCAGCAAATAACGTTTGCGCTCAGTAGCCAAATGTACTCTAACAAATACACACTTCCTATTAATTGATATATATAATCAAAGAGATTGCTGAATACCCATTCTAGAAAGTAAATTTACTCGTACTATCGTATTTTGAACCACAATGATTCAAACTGAACTGACGAGTACAAGCTTCTCTGGTACCTATTCAATAACAAATTTGCTCAAAAGTACATATTATTTAAATGCTTTTGAATTTTATTTTTAATTCATTAATTAATTAAAAACGAAAGGTTTGATACTAAATATCATATTTATGTTAATGATTTGTGCAATTGATTTTGAACTATCATTATTAACATTGTTAAAATGATAAAATTACATTGTAATATTCTAAGTTGTTTGAAAACAGATGTTCTTTTTATTTTTTATAAAAAAATTATATTTTAGGTACGTAACTTTCTTCACAAACAATTTCTATCTGATGTTTTACGATAAGATTACTTTCAAAGAATAACTATAATCTTATTATTCTAACAAAATTATTATTATAATACTCTGAACATACAATCTGACAAACAGAATCTTTTCAACATTCCTCTGAAGTCCATTAGCAATTTCCTTCTAGGAAGTTTTCTTGAAATGATCTCTTTGAAAATGTCTCAGATTTTGAAACTTAGTGGTGATATCTTTATTTTAACGACTTCATTGTAGACGACTCTGATGGTTATTATATAATAGGATGAGTTGGTAGTTGAGGATGATAAACAAATATCAATCACTATAAAAATAAGAATACCACGGAAATTCGCAATTTTTTTCGCGACCTGGCGCTGGCGTAGACCGAATCGAAATTCGTACTATTCGCAACAAAAAAGCCGAAAATGTTAACAAGTAAAAAAAGTCGTCTAAATCGACGGGAGAATGAAATAGGGCCGACCGGCGAAGCGATTTTTCTCGACGTTCACGAAGGGTTTAATAAATCCCCGCAAGCACTTACTTGCGCTGGATGACACAAAAGGAAAAAAAGTAGATGGCTGGGAAAGAGCGTGGGAATTGAAAGAACGTTTTGAAAATGAAATGGCAAAAATCGAGCGTTGTTTTAACTCAATTCTTTTCTTCGAGTTGTAATCGGAAGTAGGGCATGTCCGTAAACTTAGCATATTTGACACTAGGATTGAAATAACAAGGAACATGAGTACTAGCGTGCACTATATAAATCGATATTACAAACTAGCAAAACTTATCTATGAAAGCCCGGTCATCTCGCAGTCGGTGCACACACTCGAGCGGACGTTTACCTCCGCCATTAAGCACGCGTTACACGTGAACTCATCTCCTTCGTGGCGTTTGTTGGTCGTAGTAGTAGTCGTAGTAGAAGCGAGCCCTTGATTCACGGCACACAAATGCCGAGGCGACGCGAGTTAATGTGCTGGAAGCTCGTTCGAGTAAAGGAGAGAGAAAGAGAGAGAGAGAGAGAGAGAGAGAGAGGCTATAGCATCTCCCTTTTCCTTCTCCCACTCCCTCAACGCGCGTTGTCGGACGAGTAATGTATTATGCGCTTCGGGGGGCTTTCTTCGCCTCGAGAGTACACTCTGCGGAAATGCGCTTGTTTTGTATTGGCGCGAAAGTTATTTACTTTTGCTACGCCAAATTTCAAGTTGTACGAGTTACGTAAACTTTCGTGAGTCCGTCGAGGTGCAAGGAGGTATGAAAACATCTATAGTGGCACTTAAATGGCGTGCTTCAAAATGTGGAACGAATTCTGATTAATTTCGGATAAGGTACATGAGGAATTAATCATGTCAATATTTTTTTGCGGATAAATTCAGTCTTGTTTCCTCTAGAATACATCAAATGTATATATATCCGATCAATTAAGCAAATTATTTCTACTTTTATATTCAATATTTTATTACTTGAACAATTATAATTTATATAATACATTTAATTATCACAATTTTGTAAATAAATTATAAATCAATGTAATTCGATGGAATCACAATTGAGTTATTTCACGAATAATAAATAAACAATACATTAAATAACATTGATAAATAAACAAAGATAACAAACAAATTTGTGAAGCAATCAATTTTCATAATCAAGTAACTGACTAATGTCCGATAAGTTTACTGCCCTAATAAAAAATTCAATAATACTCAAAGCTGTACAAATAGCATTGTCAAAGTATTCATGTTCTGTAAATAAATTTAACAATCGAAATGATAACGAAAGAGTATAAAGTATTGTACGGCACATTGAATGAGCTTCTTATAATAGAGGTGTATATAAAGAAAATTTGTATAGATTTTACAAAAGCTGAATTTATATCAGAGAATGAGTATTAGCTTCAGTATCTCGTTCAATAAAAAATTATATATTTTTCATGGTTACAAGCAGATATTTTTATTTGAAAAAATTTATTATTAGTATTCGAAAAATATTTGGAAAATTCATCGTTATCGGTGAAACCGTTGTGGATATAAAAATATCAACATTCTAGTCTCAAAAGAAGGGCGTCATTCAAAAATGTCGTGTATAAGCCATCACTGCTTCATCCTCCATATATTGAAATGTACTGCCATCGATCAAAATTGCAAGCTTTAAAAACAACTAATTCTGCAGAAGATAAATATTTTGTTTGGTGACAGCAGTGACAGCAGTGTCAACTTTCGTCATGTGATATATATATATATATATATATATATATATATATATATATATATATATATATATATATATATACTTGCGAAAGTCAAGCTTATCAAGCTGCCACTTATGTGCCTACCCGAAGGAAAGTGCTCTTATTGACGACATTTATATGAAAACATCTCTTTGTCCTTCTACTGATTTCTTTTCAGTTCAAAAAATTGAAATCAACTAAAAATTAAAAAATAGTATTCATAAAAAAATATGAGTTGAAATTTATTCAACGATTCGATTTTTAAAGACAAAAGGGAAGTTCGACGTTTTCAAAGTCGTTCAGTGCCAGCTTTCATTGTTGCAAAAGTGCACAGCAGCAAAAGCACAAGCGAGCGCCGGTCGATTGGTGCTATAAAGAGAAAAAGAGGAAGAGAGACGGGGCATGAAAGAGAGTTGCTCGAGCATACTGCAGGTGGCTTTGTCGCAGCGAGTAATTAGCTTGCGGTAGCACGAATTCGTCAGGAGTACAAGAGCCACCCCCTCATAATGAGAGACTCAGAGCTTAATTGGAAAAGATCGTTGATGGGAACCATCGAGTAGAGGTCGCTTGCCATCGTAATTATTGACGATTACAAAGGTGTTCGATCGTCAATTTAGTAAAAAATTAAAAAAAGAGATTTTCTTTGATTTTATTTTCCAATTTCAGTAATTTAACATTTATATATTTTCTAACAACTTCTCTTTGCGTAAATATAAATTAAAGTAAAAAAGAGAAAAATTAAATTAGATTTAGTTGTTCGTAAAAATCCAATGGCAAGTCGTATCATAACTCAATTAAAACTATCCTCCCGCTCGTTCTATTCACATTCGCACTGGCATCGTAAATTCAAATTGAGAGCAAAGGTAAAAAAATACTGCTAATATATTCGCCTTTACTCTCTCTGTCTCTGTCTCTCTCTCCCTCTCTCTCTCTATCTCTTTCGCTCGTATAATGAAAAAAATTTAAATGAAAAATTGGAAAAATAATAGTTATGAGTATAACATAGCAGGAAAAAAAGCAAATCTCAAGATTTTTTTGCGTTGGCTATTCCATATAACTGTCGTAAATCGCTTGGCACTGGAACATATATACGAAAACGACGCTACACTAAAGTGACATTTATGATTCCACCACATGTCGCCAAGCGATGATGAGCCTACCAGGCCAGGACGACGACGATTTTATCCTCGCATAGAATGTTCAAACTGACGCGGGATATAAATGCCTTGGCTACAGTGCACATGTAACTATGTTTAGTTTTTCCACTACAACTCGTAGAAATGGTCTGTTTTACAAAATAATTTTACGTTGATGGCGGATACAGTGTATGAAACGTTAAATATATTTAAAATACAATAAAATTCCAAGAAAGGGAACCAGAACATATTCTCAGCGAACGTGTCAATGCTCATAATAAAGTTGGTGATATTATTTAGCGTTAGAAATAGAATTTCTCTACGTGAATACAGATAATAAATGATTAAATTAGAAGATTTTGATCATTGTGATTTATTAAATATTCCAAAATGAATGATTTTATTTATGGACTAACTAACAATAAATTAAAAAATAACAAGCATTAGTAATTCATTTA